CACTGATCAGCTCATGAATCCATAACTGTGAGAGACTTTGAACAACTGAGGCTATCTGTGACTTCCTTTTAGAATGCAGTCTTAGGGCTGTGCCTGTTCATTACACATTTCTCAAACTATGATATATGGAGTTCTTGCTATGCTGGAGAAAGGCAAGCATCACAACCACAAGCCAACAGTTTTAGTTCAGAAAACTAACATTGTGCTATTTTAAATCTGAATGTTTTTATGAGATTACAAAAGTACATTCATTCATTTCATTAAAATTCTATTTTCCAGGAGGGATTTTTGCTACATTACATATTAGAAAAATATAGGAAAATATGTATTTTCCAAATTAAATGGAGAAGCAACTCAAAAAATTCTCTTATTCTAGAAATATTCAAATATAAAGTCTTCCTTTTCCTTATATACTATTATATCTATAACTATATATTTACATATACATATTTACATCAAAATCTTTACTTTCTTATTTTTTATTATACTTTTAAACTTTCTACATTTCTGTTCATTTTTCTATAGCACTTGATCTCTCCCCTCAGGTGTAGCCCCTGTAAATCTCCTACCACAACACCACCTGTAAGCTGTCACCATAGTTCCTGTGCTTTCCTGCCCCTATTTTGATACTTCTGCTGTATGCCTCAGCTCTAGAGTTGGCCTGAAAGTTCTGTCTGTGTCTCTGATTTTTTGGCACTTTGTTCTAATTCAGGTCCCTGAATTTATCAAAAATGAAATGAAAATTGGCTACTACTAATCTGGTAAGGGCATTTTCAATAATGTCTTTCACATTATCAGTACCTGATGGAAACAGCTCTGGAAAGGAAGGAAAAAACTCTAGGACTCAGCAGTCACTTTCACTACACAAAATATATTTTTGGCATGTAACAATTCAGTTTATTCTGCAGCAGAAGGAACACAGGATACAGAGTAGATCCAGTTTATACACATACAAAATAAACAAATGGTCAACTATTTTTAAATGCTCTTTTTCTGTCCAATCCAATGGGATGATCCAAAATCTGATGTTCTCAGAGAATAGAAGGAGGTTATTTCTATTTTGTCACCCACTGAGTTCTCTGTAATACTTTATTAAAAAATATGAAGCATGTTATCACTTAGGATGACATATTAAAATTGTGTGGAAGCTGAATGATACAACATACACCTTTCTACAGTTTCCTCAATCAGAGGGTCTTAACAGGGCCTCTTATTTTATGCTATCTAGACATTTTGTACTCCTACAAAAGTCTATTTTTCTTTCATCCAGTCTGCTTTTCTTTTTTTTCTTACACACCTTTTTCCCCCTCTGTTAACTTTTCATGAAATAATTCTAAAAGAGAGAATAATATATGGGGGAAGAATACATAAGATTTCATGTTTCTACCTTCATGCCTATCAAAATTTGGCATTTTTGCTATGTTTATCTTTTCACTTTGCTTATGGTCTTTTTGCACAGAATGTGTCCAATTTAATGTGGACACATTAATATTAATATTATTAATATTTTGTATTATGAGTGTGATGTTTATTTCTTATTATAGGGAGACATTAATAATATTTCCTATTTTCTCTTGCAAAGATAAAAAAATTTGCTTTTCAAGTATAAGTCTTCACCTAGAGTTTATTTCTGCATATAGCAGAGGGTAGACTTTTCCATACAGATCATCCATTACCCTGGAACTATTCATCAGTTAACCTTTTTCCCATTGATATGTAATCCCTCTAGTATCAAAATAAATTTTTGTATTCGCATTGGTATATTCCTGGGCCCTCTACTCCATTTTGTTGTTCTATTAACCTCTATGCCAATAAACTACTGTCTTCATTTACTGTAAATCCCTAAGAAGTATTCATATTGGGTAGACTCCCCACCCTCATTCTTTGGGTCATTTTAGGATCAAACTATCATATCACTTTAGGTCATCAATCTACTGCTACACACATTTTAGAAATTACTTGTCAACTTCCAGGAAAAGTCCTGTTGGGATTTGAATGGAACTTGTAAATTAATTTGAGTCTTGAATTGCTTCAGTGGCTTTCTACACAATATAAAACTGGTGGCTGAAAGATTAACTAATTTTTATAATCTGACAAGGCCAACAATTACATAACCTTATAAAGTGCCATATCTCTCACTTATAAACATATAATAATCATTGAATACTTGTTAAAAAAGATAAAAAAAATCCTGCAACTCTGAACCCTTTTAATTTCACTCTAGATTTCTATCTTAAAGGTAAAAAATTCTCAAGTATGGAGAAAACTAGCTGAACTAGAAATGCTCATGGAAACATTACATTTTATAGTAGGAAAACATGGAAATAATCAAAATATAAATGATGCAGGAATATATAAACTAGAGTAAATACACTGAATAGTGAACCATGATGACGATAAAAATTAGTGGCTTTAAAAATCACATATATAACAATAATGAATTAGTGTTCACTTATGGTATAGCATTGTGTGATAAAATAATATTTGCATATGATATAGCTACAGTTGTGGGAAAAACCCTCAAATACATGCACAGAGAAATAAAATTTACTGAAATCTTTACAATAGTTAAGAGTATGGATTACAGACTAGATGTCCATTACCTACCCTACTTTTTGAATAAAATCTGTTGTCAAAGTATATAGGAGGGGATTTTCTTTTTATCTCAGGGGAAAAAAATAGAACAAAAAAGCAGGTGTTATAGGTTTTCTTTCATTGCAAAAAATTCTGACACTTAGGGTTTAGGTTCTGGTTCAATCACTGATTGAGAAATGTTTGAGAAACAGTATTCACCTATTTCTTTGTTAAAATATTTAGAGATATGGCCTAGTCCACAAAACCTTCAGAAATAAATGGGCATTAAGATCACTGTAAAATTTCGCTTAAATCATGCAAAAACAAAGACTGCTTATTTACTTTTCTCTTAAGTACATGGAGAGTAAAACAGTAGGGAGTTGCCATTTGAAACTCCAAAATAAACACCCAGAGCAATATTTCCATAGTTTCACTTTACCTTAAAGACATGAAAGGCTTCAAACTGTATGTTGGGACTTTTATCTCGAAGGAGGTTCATCATCAGTTTGAGGTTTTCTGGCTTGCTGATATACTTTGTCATAATGGCAAAGTTGTGTCGGTCCAGTATCAGTTCACCTAACAGCTACAAGAAAACACAAAATCCAAGCTATAAACATTCTGAGAGTTATCTTACTCAATATATATCTAACTGAAAGTATAAATGTGATTTATGAAAGTTGATGTGAAAAAAAAAGAGCGTCCTAAGTGTTCTTATAGCACAAGAGTGAAAGTAGTAGACATTATTGTAAACTGTTTACAGCTTTCCTAAAGTCATCCTTAATGCATTTAAAATTTTTTTTTAAAAAGTTAGGCATTGGCCCTCCCTGGTGGCGCAGCGGGTTAAAGTACAGCACTAAGAAGCTTAAGCCACTTCCACATGAGTTCAATCCCCGCCTGCCCCGGAGGAGATCCACATGGTGTGACAGACCTCTCCTGACCTGCCCGCTGCTCCCCTCAGCAGTGTACTTCGTCGATCTGCCTGTTCTGCTCCCCACTCTGTCTCTGGTGAATCCTCTCACCCTCCACATCTCTAGCCTGTACCCCAGTTCTGTATGAATAAATAAATATTTAAAAAAAAAAAAGTTAGGCATCACTTCTGCTTTAAAGTCCTCTCTACAGTTATAAGAGTCAGCCAGAAATACCTTATTATTTTCATTGCTTGCATTAATTATCTTGCTTTCTAGTAATGTATTGCTCTGCAAGTATACATTCCTTACCCAAATGAAAGTATTCTAGTAACTTACTAGAAAAAAACTTATGTTAAGTGACCCTTCCTGATAACATTCATTATAAAACCTAGTATGTAGGAAGAAAAAAAACCATTGACCCTGACTCTATCCAAAGTTTAATATATGCTGAACATTTTCATATAAGAACAAAATATTTTCTGGTGACAGATTATAGTTTCCAAAGTGCAACTTTCTCCCAGTTATGAACAGAATGTTTGTGCCCCCAAAAAACTTTATGTTGAAATCTTAAGCCCCAATGAGATGTGATTGGGGGAGGAGGAAGCTTTGGGAGGTCATTAGGACATGAAGACTCCAAAGAGCTCTCTTGCTCCTGGCATCCTGATCTTAAACTTTCTAGCCTTCACAACTGTGAAAAATAAATTTTTGAATTTAATTAAACTACCCAATTTATACTGTATTTTTGTTACAGCAGCCCAAATAGACGAAGATACTTCAAAACAAAATAAACCCAAAGTGTGAATGACTAAAGACTTTCTAGTAGCATAGATGAATGTATTGTTGCTTTTTAGTTCATAAACGTTTATTCTCATTGTGGTAACAGTTTCTGAACACTTCAGCAACTAGCAGCTGAAATGTACCCTTATAATAATTTCATATATGATATACTTATTTTTGAATTCTCCTATGTACTGGGTTACTCAGGATACTACTACATTATATAGGTAGTTATAGAAATCCTGGGTGGGAGGAAAAAGCACATAAGCTGAAAACTAGCAGTCTTATCACAAGTTTAGCAACAACACCTTCCAGAGGTGTACATGCAGGGTATGTCAAAGTGTATAGGAGGTGATTTTCTGCTGGCACTTCATACCACCAGATGGTTTTCTACCCTGGTGACACTGTAACAGGTACCAGGAAGACAACAACAGAAAAACCCAAAATTAAATCAAACAAAAAAGTATGTTCAGTCTCTTAGAGGAAAAAAAAAAAACGTAATCCAATTCTCTAAGTTACTGCTACAGAGAAACCTAAAGCAACAAAACAGGCAGGCCAAAAAACATCTTGGCACCGTGAGACTTCATAGAATATGCTATTACAACAGAGAACAACTCTCCAGAATCCAACCACAAAAATGGAAGATTCATGCTGCATTCAGAGTTTAAAATTTCTGTAATATAATTGAATAAATAAAAGAAAATACAAACAGGGAATTTTCATCTAAATGAACTTAGAAAGGCTAATCAAAGAGATATACAATTCTGTAAAAACAAATTAGCCCAGAAAGAAAATGAATGAGCAGAAGGTAAAAATTAAAGCTTTCAATAAGAAAACAACAGGTTCAGGATGTAAAGAACTCAATAAATGAAAAAAAAAAAAAGAAAAAAGAAAAATTAAAGAAAGGTATGGAAGCAGAATAGACCAAATGGAGGATCAAAATGTTACAGGGTAGCCCAGAATGAACTTGGGCTGCCTGTCTGTGGGGCCTCACCTGCCCCCTCAAAATGTAATTTTCTGCAGACACACACAAAAAGAGTAATGGATTTATTTACAAAAAGGGAAAAGGAAAAGGAACCAACCCAGGGAAAGAGAGGGATACAAAGTAACTGGAATGTCTTACTAGCTTAGCTAACACTGAGTCACACGTGGCTAACACTGCTAGGCCCGAGTCACTGCTAGGCCCAAGTCACATGGTCTGAGATGCTCCAAAGAGAGAGAACTGTTACCTCTCCAAAGCTACAGTTGGAAAACCGCTCTCTATTTATTCCCCAAAGTCCCAGAATGCCTGCTTAGCTCCACCCTTAGATCCTCACAGTTCTCTCCTTGGTGCTGCTGGGAGTTGTAGTTTTCCAATCACTGGAGTAGGGGATGGAATCCAGAAAGTTGGAGTAGAGGGTAGAGTCCACCAAACTCTGCAGAGTTCTTTTAGTACATCTTTTCCCTTAACAAAAACAGTAACTTCAATGATGGCTACACTTGAAACAGGTGAAAGAATAGAGAAATAATGAAATGTAAAAAAAAAATAGTATGGCACCACTTAGAGAACTATGTGACTCCACTAAGAAGCCAACATAAGGATAGTGGGGATTCCAGAGTGGGGAGGAGAATAGAGAGAGGAGAGAGAGCTTATAGAATGAAATAACTGAAGGACACTTTCCAAACTTGGACAAAGAACTAAATACAGAGGTCCACAAAGCTAATTGAACATCTGATTATCTAAATGTAACAAAGCTGAAGGAGTTTGCCAAAAGTAGACCTCTCCGAAAATACAATATTCAAAGGAGATAGCCTATTTAATTAACAATATTCAAAGGAGATAGCCTATTTAATTAAAGAGAAGTTCATAAAACATTGAAAAAGGAAACTGGAAAACTAAAGACAAACTGACAGGAGCAAGACATTACTTATCAAAAATCACATTTAATGTAAAGGACTGAATTCACCAATCAAAAAGCACAGAGTAGCTAGTAGGATCAGAAAGTCTCCAGATCACACATCTGAGTTACAAAGATAAATACAAATAATACAAAATAAAAGTTTGGAAAACACTCCTAACAAGCAAATACCACCCTAAAAAAAAATCAGAGACAGTTATACTTAGATAAAAGACTCCAGTTAAAAAAATAATGAAACAGATGGACATTACATAATGATTAAAGGATCAATACATGAGGAACACATAATACTTAACAGTAAGTATATGTACCAAATGAAGGAACATCAAAATATATAAATCAACTATTAACAAATCTAAAGGCAGACTTAGCAGCAACACAAGTGTACAGTGGACTTCAACACCCCACTTAAGTCAATGGACAGATCAACTAAACAGGATCAATAAGAAAACAATAATCTTAGGTGAATTGAACCAGATGGGCTTACTAGACACTCCACTCCAAAAAGTTCAGTACACATATAGACCACATGTTGGATCACAAATATCAATAAATTCATAAATATTAAAATTCTATAAAATCTTTTCTGATCACAATAGAATTGCTAAGGGGAATGATGTCCTAAAAGAACTCTGCAGAGTTTGGTGGACTCCACCACTAACTCCAGCTTTCTGGATTCCACCCCCTACTCCAGTGATTGGAAACTATAACTCCCAACAGTACCAAGGAGAGAACTGTGAGGATCTAAGGTTGGAGCTAAGCAGGCATTCTGGGACTTTGGGGGATAAACAGCGTTTTCCATCTGACACTGGGAAGAGGTAATGATTCTCTCTCTCTGGAGCAACTGCTCTCAGCCGTGTGACTGGGGCTAGAAGTGTTAGTTTGGGACTAGAGCTCCAGGTTAGCTGTCCTGGTAAAGTATTCCAGCTACTTTGTATCCCTCTCTCTCTTCCATGGGTTGTTTCCTTTTCCTTTCCCCTTTTTGTAAATAAACCCATTACCCTTTTTGTGTGTGTGTGCCTGCAGAAAATTACATTTTGAGTATAGATAGGGCTATCCTGTAACAGTATCAAACTAGAAATCAACCACAAGAACAAAGTGGGAAAAATCTCAACTACATGGAGACTGAACAGCATGTTATTGAATGACTATTGGGTTAAATACAAAAATTAAAGGAGAAAAAAACATGTCTGGAGACAGATGAAAATGAAGACATGAATTTTCATGAACCTATTAGATGTAGCAAAAGGGATACTAAGAGTTAAGTTATATAGTATCTGCCCATATCAAAAACAAGAAGTATCTCAAATAATCTAATCCTTACATTTTTGGAACTAGAAAAAGAATAAAACTAAAAGACATTAGAAAAAGGAGAAATTATAAAAATTAGAGTGAAAATAGCATAACTTCTGGCTATGCTCATTAAGAAAAACAGGAGTGAAAACAGATTAGGAAAGGAAGAGGAGAAGTTTCCACAGACATGACAGAAATACAGAGGATCAAGGGCCTACTATGAGCCTGAATATTATGTGAATTGGTTAATCTAGAAGAAATGGACAATTTTTTTTTTTAGAAGCAAACAACTTTCCAAGATTGAATCAGGAAATAGAAAATACGAACCAATTACAATCAAGGAAACTGAAACAGTAATCAACTACATCCCCAAAAAACAAATGTCCAAGAACAGGTAATTTCACTAGTCAGTTCTAATAAACTTCCAAAGATGAACTAATACCTACACATCTCAAACTCTTCAAAAAATTTCAAGAAATGGAACATTTCATATTTATTTCATGAAGCCAACATTATGTTGATACTCAGGATCAGACAAGGATATCGCAGAAAAAGAAAACCACAAAGTAATACTCCTAATGAAAAAAATGCAAAAATTCTCAAAAAATCTTAGCAAACTGATTTGAACAATACAAGAATTTCTCAGTATATTGTTGTATTCTGATATGCAAACAGGGAGCCAAAAGAGAATGAAACCTAGAAAACAATCCTGTCTCCAATCACATCAAATGTAATAAAATTCCTAGGAGTAAAGGAAGTAAGAAAGGAGGTGTAGGACACCTCCATGAAGGAGTTTAAAAATATAAAAGAAAATACAAGGAAATGGAAAGATAGACCAAATTCAAGATCTGGGAGAATTGATATTGTTAGAATGGCCATCTTATACCAAAGCAAAGAGCAGATTTAATGCAATCCCTATTAAAGTTTCAATGGCATTTTCAAATATTACTGAAATTTATATGGAATCACCAAAGAATCCGAGTAGCCAAAGCAATCCTGACAATAAAGAATTAAGGTATTACACACTCAGAGTTCAAACTATCCTACAAAGTTATAGCAATCAAAATAGTATGGTTGGCATCGGAATAAAAGTAAATATACACACTCATGGAATAGAACTGAGAGTCATAAATAAACCGACAATTATACATGCAGTTAATTTACAACAAAGGAACTAAGAACATACATTGGGGAAAAAAATCTTTTCAACAAATGGTGATGGAAAAGCTGGGAAACTGCACACAAAAGAATGGAAATTATATCACTCTCCCATAGCATACACATAATGGATCAAAATTAACACAAAATGGATCAAAGAATTGGACATAAGCTACAATTGGACACACCATAAGCTACATAGAGTGAAACATACTCAAAGTACTCTATGACTTCCACTTCAGTGAGGTTTTTGAGGGCTGGACTATAACATAAAGGGAAACAAAAGCAAAAAACAAACAAAAACAAAACAATACAGGATTATATCAAACTAAAAGAGTGTGCACAGTGGAAAAAATATCATTAAAATGAAAAGACATCCTATTAAATGGGAATATTTGCACATTATGCATCCAAAGAAGGTGTTACTATCTAAGAACTCACACAACTGAACAATAAGAAAACAAATAACAAAAAAAAAATTGGCAGATGGCTTCTCCAAAGAAGACATAAGAAGGCCAGCAGTCACATGAAAAAAAAAACAAGCAAGCTCAAGCTCATCTTCAGTTACCAGGGAAATGAAATCAAAACCACAATGACATAGCACCTCACATCCATTTTGCACACATGCCACGCTTTCAATAGTTGTTAAACTGACACGTATAAATTCAGATTAAGTCACTTCAATTTTTACTACATAGGGATGCCTACCATAGACATTCTATTCAATCTATCCTCTGCTAATATAATTTTAACTACTTTTCCAAAACAATCAATTTGGTTAACTTACTTGGCTAACTACACTGAATCTTTTAGCTATTAAATGATAATCTATTTTAAAGTATATTGACAATGATCAATTCTATATTGCATTATAACACAAAACATTATCAAGGAATGCTGTATTAAATGGAAACAATTTTTATTTTTTATTTCTTTAAATTTCATTGTATATGGCTCAAAGTACATAGAAAAATCATGAACATGAAATGAACAACAGTATCTTTAAATTGGTATTTAATAAAACTGACTCATAGAGCACAAAATACCTCCTACCTAAATTCCACCATGTTTCTTTTGAACTATAATCTTTCTTGCAAGTAATTAAATGTCAGACCTCTCAGAAAGATAAGAAATTCTTAAGCTAAGTCACACAAAGGAAAGGAATTTCTCTGTTAATCATATTTTACTGACACTGGGAATATAAGCACCTGAAGATAATCCAGAAAAATTTAGAGTATGATTTAAATAGATGACAGGTAGCAACAACTTTGGAATTAGAAAACTGCTTATTTTTAGAGTTTATTATTTATAGAATACTGTAACTGAGTACAGTTTTATAATAATGTAACTGAGTACAGTTTTATAATAATGTAAGCTCTCATTTTCTAAAATTATTAAACACTTATCTACCAAATATTACAGAAACTAGAGACATAAACATGGTATTGTCAAAACAGAACAGACTGCTACCATAGATCTAATTCTCAAACAGAAAAACCAACAGTATACCAACACAGCTCTCCAAAATGGTATCTTTCTATTTAAGAAAAATGCAAACATTTAATGAGCTTTTTCCTTGTACAGAGTGATTCAAGACCACTTAGCAATGATTATAATCTAGCATTAGAAAAATATCTTCATTATCTATTAAAGAATTTCTGCCTTCATAAGTACATTTTATTTGTTTTTTACCAGGTTGGTTTTTTTTGTTTTGTTTTGTTTTTTAGCTGTCTAAACAGTGCTCAGTTTTACCATATTGTAAATCAAATATCTGTGAGACATTCAATTATAAAGGATTTTAGGAAGGCAATGTTGCACATCTGGGTGCATTTATCAGGCACAGAAAAGAGGTCTTCAGAGTGGGTGCGCATTTAAAAGTGTATAGGAATCACAATATTTGAAATGGGAGAGTACAAAGGAGAGTTCCAGTATCTGATACAAAGTCAATTACTCCTCCCTAAGTCTCCAGACAGAGGTCTACATTGGAGAACCACGTGGAAAGAGAACAAGAGGCTGAATGGCAGAGCCAGCTGGCAGCAGACTATTGTGAGAAGTGAATCCTTACTTTCTCTTGTCACTGTGGAAAACAGTACAAGGACAAGTTCTAAAGTCTATAATCCTCAGCTTTGTTATACCGAACAAAGTTACCGAACAAAGTTGTTATTTTGTTCAGTCACCTTAGATTGTATCGCCTTCTCTACTTGGTCCAGTAGCTAACTGATTCCCACTGAAAAAGGAAGGACTGAAAAATTTATGAGTGTTCCCACATGTTGGCACGTCAGTACTCACTACCTCACTACTACCCCAATTTCCACTTCTCTCCCCAGGTGATTCTCTCCATAAGAGACAAGCCAAGCTCACCCCATTTTGGCTATCTTTATGGAGGCATAGCAAATAAGGAATTCTATTCGTTAGGTATAAAGCTGTGGTAACAGTTTGTATCTTTACCTTCAACTGGTTTTAACAAACTTTCTGGATGTTGGAGAGTATGGCACTGATGCCATGTCTTTTATCCCTCCAGGCTCCACCCAACACTGAGAGCAGTGTACTTGTGGTATTTTTTCTACATGGATCACCTTGTATGAATTTCCACACATGAGGAAACTCCATAGAGAGTACTGAATGTCTGACTGAAAATAGTAGTTGACTTCTCTTCATCAATGGGTAAAGCTGGAGCAGTGAGGGTACAAATATATGAGAAAACAACAGGTCATGGTCAAGGTAAAGTCATGGGTAGAGAGGCTTGACCAAAAAAAAAAGTTACAAATAGATTATTACTTTAGCTTAAAATTATATTTAATATATTTTTATGAATTCATCTGTAAAAGTTTATTAAAAGAAGATAGCTGAATAAAGTATGACATTTGAAAAAGCTATCTGAAGTTTAAAAGGGTATTGGACACCATACTGTCCATATATTTGAACTCTTGTATACAGTATTTAGAAACAAATACATTGTATTATAAATGGCATCATGCCAACATATATAAAAATAACAATACAAGAGAGTTATATTAAGAAAATATCATGAATTGATAAAAATATCCAATTCTTATTTGCCAAAAACATTCTTTTGAATAGCTGAGTGGGAAATGCAGCTTGAGCATACATCTCACTCTTTTGGGGCTGAACCACCTCCTCTTGGTCAAATGGCTGCCCCAGGCTACCTTCTCACTGAGGGAGGGAACTATTCTCAGATGAATGTGGTCCTACTCTGCTAAGCTCCCTGTCTGATGGAGAGCAGCATGGTGTTTCATAAGAAATATAAACTCAAATTGCAAATGTTGATTTTCTTGCCCACATACACACACCCCTGCCCATCCTGAGTATGCACTAATCATGTACTTAAAATTTATCATTAACTTCCAAAAGGTATTTGTTTTGTGACAAAGTACAGTCAAAACATAAAACATATTCAAGTTATCAATAAAGCTAATCCAAGCTTTCTGTATTTGTTCACTAATCAACTAATTATTTACTAAAGTTATCAACTTTTGGAGACTGTAACTTATAGAAATTTGAAATTACCTTTAAAGATTGTCTCTTAGTCACATAATTCTCAGATTGAAGCAATTTCTCATAATCTTCAAAAATCTAATGAAAAGAAAAGAATTATTTGAGTTCAAACTCAGCTATAATTTCTCTGCATTAAGTCTGCTAAACTCATTTCAGAAGCAATATCCAACCCTCTAGCTCAGTGTAGTCCAGCTGCTGTGTTTTGTATTTTTATATACTTAACCCTGGGCCCATTTCCCCACTGTCATTTACACATAAAGACCCTGGGTGAGAGCAAGGTTAAACAATATATTCAATAAGAGAAACACTTTTCTACACTATTTTAGTTCTTCCAATGGGAAATTAAGTAACATATAAAGTAACTCAATCTCCCTAATAAATCATTTTGAATAAAATATCTCAATTAAAAGTACTATGATATAATTCACTTTAAAGAAATATATTGATACAGTCTTGCTCAAGAGCCAGTAAGGAAGAAACAGATATTTCAGTTGAGTCACAGAAAGATAACTTGGATTATCAATTAGAGAAAAGAGTTAGAAGATAAAAGTTTTTTGTATGTCTATTCATACACAGAATTTATATAAAATTTATCTCACAGGTAGAGTGTTCTTCCATTTCAGGTTACTCAGTATCTATGAAATAGAATATGGATGCTTTATTCAAGATCAAAGTAAGCAGATGCCAGTTTGTCTCCTGTAGCTCCAGAGTACACACAGGGAGAGATGTGAAAAAAGACAAAGAACTGATGTGAAAAAAGACAAAGAACTGATCTGTTATCCTTAATTTTCCATTAAGTTTCCTGGTGACCTGGATTCCAGGCAACAAAGAAATTGGGTGGATGGTTGACTATGCCCATAGACTTAGGGGAAGAAAAAGAAAAAAATAGATAAAAGTCTTAAAAAAATGACTTCTACTTACTGTGTCGTAATTTTGTTCTAAGAAGTCTGCTACCAACACTTTATGTCTGGTTAGTAAATCCTAGAAAAAGAACAGCCAAGTGAAACAAATTTTTATTGAAATAAGTATTTACAAATCTCTTTTCCTTCAAAGGTTTTACAAGGCCATTAATTTGAAACATAAACACTTCAGAATATTTTTATTTACATCACAAAATCATTTCCATAAAATAATTTAAGACACCCACAAATTTGGGCCCTCCATGGTGATGCAACGGGTTAGAGCGAAGCGTGCAAGCCAGCCGCAACCACTTCAGTGTGAGTTTGATCCCTGGCCCCAGATGTGATTATGATGTGGCAGACCTCCCCTGGGCCTGCCCACTGCTCCCCTCAGCAATGTACTTTGTCAATCTGCCTGTTCTGCTCACTACTCTGTCTCTGATAAATCCTCTCATAGCCCCTGCACCTCTGGCCATACCCCAGTTCTGTATACATAAATAAATAAAATCTTAAAAAAATAAAGATACACACATTTGTTTACTCTTAAAATTAACAGAGTATTTAAATTTACCACTGTTAAGATTTATGATAGAAAGAACTTAAGGAAATAAATGGCAAATAAGAGACAAATTTATAGTATACTTCTTCAAGTCACAGATACCGCTAGCTATACTTGTAATAAGAAATCAGGGCCCTCCCTGGTTGTGCAACAGGTTGAAACACAGCCCTATGAAGCTAGCCACAGCTGCTTCAGCACCAGTTCAAGCCCTGGCCAGGGGTGATCCACATGGCACAGCAGACCTCTCTTGTCTTACCTGCTGCTCCCTGAGCAGTGTGCTCCCTGAACAGGGCATAGCCCAGAGGTGTAGAGGGTGAGAGGATTCACCAGAGACAGAGTGGGGAGCAGAACAGGCAATTATACTGCTGATGGGAACAGCAGACTGGACAGGAGAGGTCTGCTAGCCACTTGGGTCAACTCCCTGGCAAGTGATCAACCTCATGCTGCCAGTGGCTGTGGATAGCTTCACAGTGCTGTGCTTTAACCATGTGCCACCAGGGAGGGCCCAGTAAATAATCACTTTTAAAAAAGAATTTAGATAGCCTAAAACCATATCTCACAAGTTTCCCAAGCATTTTAACTTCTGGTGTTATTTCTTAACCACTTTTAAAAGTGAGGCACTTTGAAACTTGGAAGCACAAAAAGTGGTATTTAACAGTGCTGTCTCAGTATTGCCTTGCTCTTGGTTTAGGACTGTGAGGTGTTGTGTAGTTACTAAGTAGTACAATGCACCCTTTCAAAGTTGAAGACAAGTAGCTCTATCTTACCATAGATATAAACTCCGAAAAAAGAACAAATGTATAAAGGAACGTTTGACTGTCTTCAACTCCTACTTAAATTATATCCTTAATTTGCCTTAATGGTGAAAGCAAACAAGCCTCCCCTAATCCCTTTTATAAGCTTACAGGCTAAATACCCTAGGTTAGGTGCCATGCAGAATTTAATTAAAAACATAACAAGAATTTCAGCAAGTTTTCCAAAATAAATTCTTATACTTTAATACACATTTAATTAAAGCTTCCTAAAAGCATATAGAAGATAGACAATATATCCTCATAGAGAAAAAAAAAAAGTAAATTCTATCATTTTTTATTTTAATAAAAAGTAAAACATTTACAGCATTTTGAATGGTAATTTTGAGTCAAAAATAATAAGACTTGTTATTAATTTTATTTCATCTTACTTATGGTCACAAACTTGACTGACCCTTGGCACTATCATTGGAAATATGGTACTTTTTCACTCAGTAGAACGTTCAGAATTTTAAAATGGAAAAAATCCTCTACAGGGATTCATTCCTGGTCTGCCTCAGGCCAAAATTCAACAAGTTCCTCTATCAGGGGAACTTGGATGAGAAAGGTAGTTATATAGCACCTTTGAGGTCTCTAATCTTTTTCTAAGTTGATATTTGGGATGCCTAGTTTTCAGATGACCCACCAATCTCCTGAGCAGTACTAATGATTTTCTGAGCTGACCCAGGTTAAAAAGGGGTTCTCTTCAAGGGCTGTAGCCTACATGGTGACTGCTGCACCCTGGGAGTTTTCCACAAGTTACAACAGTTCTCAGTCTCTGTGAGGAACATGTGCTCCCAAAGCTGCAGGCCTGTAGTTACAGCAAAGGCAGCAATGCTTTGTACTCTGAAGATGAGGGCTGCCTAGAAAAGCCTGTTCACTGCTCACTCTACTTTGCTATTACACCAAAGAGGGAGGACTCTAGAGAGTTCTGTTAGTAGCTGCTCGTTCAAATTCTAAGGGCAAAATACTTGAAATAACTTAAAAATTCAGCAATAGAAAAAAACACAATATGATAGGGTAGAATTTCCCTAGCACGTGTATAAGATGGATGAAGTCAATAAATGATTCTCTTTCTCACAATATATATAAGCTCTTGCCCTTGGGTAAGTATATACTATATATACATAGCTATAACTTCAAGTTTATTCATATAATAAATGTATACATAAAACTGAAAGGATTATACTATGCAAGACTATATGCATATAGATAAATATAACTTCATTATTATAGATCTTAAGACTGACTGGGGGGAGGGGAAACTGGCTAGGATCCTACTCAAAAAGGAAAAAGCAGAAAATTGCAAAGAAAAATAAAGTTCAAAATTAAAGAATTATAGTTATTGGAATTAGTGTAAACTCTTTTATCCTACCTCCTATAGTTTTGGTCATGAGAGGTCTAAACTTTACATAGTCTTAAGTAGTATGCTAAGAAATCCAATATTGAATTTTAGTAAATACTGCACAGCCAGGGTTAAATCTGGGGTGGAGTAACAGACATGGGTCCATAGAAGGAAGACACCTGGCTGGCTGGCACCTCTGCCATTCACTGCTGGTTTACCACATGATGCTCATAAGCACTTTTACACAAATTATTTCTAATCTTCATTACAACAAAAGTTCAATTATTTATTTATAAAAATATTTATTATATTCTGAAGACTATAAATTCAGAATTATTACAGGAACAAATAACTTTGTTTTTTTAAATAAGTAAATCTAAATACATGCACTTAAGTAAGGATGTTTTATGCTCAAATGGAAAACCTCTGTTTTCAATAATGTCAGGTATCTTAAAATTTGTTCTTAAGGCCCTCCCTGGTGGCGCAGCGGGTTAAAGCACAGCACTGAGAATCTGAAGCCGCTTCTGCATGAGTTC